ACAACACGGCGACAATCTGAGACGACGCGCCCCGTGTTTTGTCTTGGACAGCCGGGCGAGCGACGTTATTCGAACGCTGCGCGACACAAAGAGTTTCACCGCCCGACGGTTGCAACACTGTCTATGTACTAGTCGCCGCTGACGACCACTAGTATACGAGCGGAAGGATAAACCAGAACGAAAAAAAAAAAAATAGAAGCGAGCGAAGGCAGCGTGCCAATAGATCTCGAATAGCCGGCGTAGCTAGTCACATCCTGTTCGTTCTGTTTTTTTTTTAAACAAAAATATGACTGTTTGACCATTTATTGCAAAGCCAGCTTACCAGCTTATCGGAAAATGTTTCTTACAAATATCGCAGGAGCGGAAGGTCGGAGCCATAATCAAGTTGGACAGTGAAAATTACCATCGCCCGTATGTTTATCTCCGTAGTTTTATTGAAAATAGCTTCATTGTTCTTGTCGGCGTGCTTATAATACGTCATGTATTTGCCAATTTGCGGCACAAGCACAAATAACTGAACAGTCCACAGAGTTGTTCAGTTAACTATGCCATTTATCTGTTGCCAGTTAACTGTTGACAGTTATCTTCTGTCAACCTGCGTACGGATAGTCGCGAACTGTTGCATTCGCAGCTCTATATTTTATTTAAGCAGACCACTTTACGAGAAGTCGAGACAATTTCGTAGGCAAATTGCGTGAAGTGAAGGAAATTTCGTAGGCAAATTGCGTGAACTCGATTGTTTTCAAGCTGCCGCCAAACCACCGTTGAAGTTGAAGTATCCCTTTACGGAAACTAAAGCCGCCATATTTCGCTTAGTAAGTTTTGTAGGAAAGTGCATCTACTACTGCAACTCGCTGCTACTTCTCATTTGTTACCAGGGTTGCCATTTATAGAAAAAAAAACGAATGCGTTAGCCATAACCCTATAAACGCTTTCATTCGCTTTTGGTAATTCTGGCATTCGCGGTAATGCATAACAAGTTTTTTTTTTTCGTGGTTGTTCTCGCTTTATTAAACTTCCTCGTTCTCGAGAAGTAAACGATCTCCGCCCTCTATATACTGGGCGTCATATCTCATATCTTCCTCTAAATGACTAGTGATAAGACCGCGCAGCTAACAATTACACGTTCGCAAGTATCGTTGGCAAGGTCTCGCTGGTGCGTTGCTATTCGTCGCATCATTTAACACAAGCAATGAAGACTGGCAACACAAAAATTTATCTTAGGCAATCAAGTTGAGATGATATGAGTGGGTCGCGTAGACAGGATGAATTTGTGCATCTTTTCGCAAAGTTGGCCACGCTGGCACACTCGACCTTCTCTGACTAAGCCACGCCTGGAATCATAGCTGCACTGAGGCGATGAACATGAGCCTCATGTATAACCTCTAAAAGCACCTCCGGGAACAAAAGCAGAGATGGAAAGCTGCAAGACCGTACCAACAATATGGCCTCCATGTTACCACGTGACCACTCCCTGAAGCACGCCCGGTGCAGATGGAGCTACGGTCGCCAGCGAGCAGCACGAGCGGCCGGTCAAGACGGTATTTTTTTCTTCTCCAAAAGCATAAAACTCGAGGTGATATTTCTGCGGCGGATCGCGACAAACAAACAAGAACACTAAGAATAGTTAAAACACGTTCATAAGCTTCAGTGCGTAAGCATACGGGGACACATTTAAAAGGAAAAAAAAAGTGACGGCGCACACTGACTAGCATTCATCCGGTGAGGGTAAGGGGGACAATAGACCACGGACATAGTTGAGCCAAACACGAAGAAACAGCAAGATAGCTTAGGTCTTTGGTTTAGCAGCTGTAATCTCGGTGCGTCTCGCTAACCCTCTAATTAACCTAGAAGGGGCACTAAATGAAAATGTATATTCCAAGCTCGATTGGGTATAATGTGCAACGTTATATAACTGGAATTAGACACTTGAAAAACTAGACCCATAAAATAATTGGAACAACGAGCGAGAGTCCAATGCAATAAAAAAAAAAGTTGATCAGTGGCGACACCACCATGGCTGTTACGAAACAGCGCCCAATGACGTCACAAGTGGAATGAGAGATCCGAAATGCATATGGGCACATACAAGTCAACTTAAGCTAGTTTCTGTATCACTTTCATCTAGTGTCCCTTCCATGTTATCATGAGCTTAGCGATCGCCACCATTGGGAAGCGAAATGGGGAAAAAAAGGACTACAAAAAAGTGGTGCGAATTTACGAAACAGTGGCTGAGGTACAGTGTGAGAGTACATATCTCTACGATACGAAGTATGAACGCTGCGTGTCATTAGATAAGGGATTGAAAAAAAAAAACACAAAACCTGAATGATAATTTTTGTTCAGCGGTCAGTCAAACCATGGACAGACAACTGTAGGTTACAGTTTACTGTATAGTCCAATTTATGTTCCAGTTTGTAGTTATAGTGTATACTCCAGTTTATAGTTTAGGTTACACTTCAAAGGCCGGAAACAATTAATTGTGTTCCAGATACTTCTGCGTCAGACGTTAAAAAACCGATCACCCAGGCTATATATGTGCGTAAGGAGGATTCCAGCTGCAGCCAATTTAAAGAGAATGTGAGATGGAATACGAGGAGGAAAGGAATGTAAAGTTGACTCGACAGACAAATTACACAGCGGGTCACACCAACGGAGGGCGCTGCAAGCGCGCAGTCCTTAGCGCGCCCTGCCGACTAGGACTTCACGCACTCATCCTATCCTAAAGAAAGGAGTAATATATCAAAAATACTAATGAAGTTAGCAAGATGGAGAAAGATAAAAAAATGTGCCGTCCTACAAAAACCTTTACGCAGCTATAGACGCACATGGAATGCCTGTAGGCATACGGCACGTAACCGGGACAGAACAGTGGCCAACGCCACCATGATAAAAAAAGTGTGATAAAGAGAACATTCACAGCCACACGTGATCGCAAACATTCGAGCACACCAAAAAACACACTGACACAAATGCACCACTCGCTACAGAAAATTTTGGAAAGAGACATCACAAAAAAGCGAAAACACGCTAAAAAAAAGAACACGTCCTCCACAATGCCATTTTGTACAGCAAGATGAATTGCGTCTATGTATATAGGCGTTTTGATCTCTCTGCATCGAGTACAAGAAAGCGAGGAATAAGGTATAAATCACGATACGAAATCTAAGGACTACTGGCAGTGTTTGACTGCCACGTGCGTTGTTGCATTGACTTAAGCATTAAAAAAAGCAAATATATCGTGTACTAAATGGCGATGTGTGTATACAGGACTGCGCAAAAACTGGTGTAACACACACTTCCTCCCAACTCCCAAGCGCCTCTCAACAAGCCCGTTAAGTTTTGTTTGCTGTTTTTTTCAGGATTGAGCTTTTCCTTAATGTTCTCCCCTGACATAAAGAGATAAGTAGGAAGGAGAACAAAAAAAAAAATCATTGCAGGTATGTGTGTATACATGCTAGTCTTTGGTGGAGTGCTTTTTTATATTATATATATCATTCCCAGTGTGGCATTGTATACGAACATCTTACACTCTAAGGATGGAAACGGGGGCAAAAAAAGGTCGCTTTGCGATATCTTTACACACACTCTCTGTAATATATAATGATGCTCTATGTACAAGATTCTCGGGGGGGCACGGTTACGACCGTCAGTCAACACTATATATATGTATAGTCACAATGAGATATGCTTTGCAGATCCTACCTCTTGAAATCACCGAGACAAAACACTCATCAATGCATGTGCGACAACGGAAGCAGTACATCGGTTCCAGAACAGCACGCTGTCCTCCGTCTGTCTGTCGTCTGCTCGAGTGACGCGGTGACGACGCAAGCACGATCACGTGATCTACCACGTCACGTCACGTGCACGCACAAGCACAGTGTCGATCGTACGTTGTCCAGTTATTGTTTTGTTGACGGCAAACAATGGAGAAACAGCCGGCGAGATCCTTCGGAATGCCGGTTCGACTAGGCGCGAAACAAGATTCTTCCAGTGACAGCATCACTCGTCGAAGCGAAGCCCGCGAATGCCGAGTCATATCACGTGCACAGCATTTTGTCCAGCGCGCGGCCAGCTCTGACGTCATTTCCGAGACTGTGATCGAAGCAATTTACTTCCTCCTTCTATGGATGAAACCACCTGTGAAATGGCGGAGCCTGCATGTACAGCTCCGAGGACCGTTCTTCCATATACTCCGCAAGACGACGAGAACCACAGCACGGCGATGTTCATGTGCTCTGCAGAAGCCCACGTCTAACGTGACTGCATGACTCAATAAGCTTTCGTAAAAGCTCTGTCGCTGATACGCATCGTCAGACGTCTTTTGCGATGCGGCGACACGGAGTTTCCTCGAGTACCAGTCCTGGACTGGTCATCCAAGTGATGCTAGGCACTCCTGCGGCAGAGGTGGTTTGCTAGCCTTCGGTATGGATTGGGGCTTAGGGAAGACGTCTTCTTCTAGGCAGCGCTGTGTTTATGCGAGTACGCTAGCTCCAGGATTGGACACTCAACATCCCGGTCGGTAGATAGGCGCTGAAGCAGAGCCCTGCTGAGCTACCAAGTCACAGCTTGTGTTGTGGAGAGGCGTCGTCCGTTCAACTGTGCGTCGAAGGAGGAAGTTGCTCGTACGGTGGAGTTATGGAGGGCGATCTTTCTTCGTGTTTTACCTCAGTGTAAACGCTGCGACCCGATCGGAGCATGCGCGCGCGCAGAGGGATACTCCCGTCTCTTCTCGCGTTGCGTCGGAGACGTCGCCTCGCGAGGTGTCCTCGTCGTTTCCCTCCGCCGCGGCCCGCGTCTTTCGTTCTCGTGGAAGTGAATGGCCATCCTGCAATTTGCGGCTCAGAGGCACCAGACTCGGCCCCAGGACGCTGCTGCCGCCGCTGCCGCTGCCGCCGCCGCCGCCGGGGGCAGCGGCGGCGCTGGCGGAGCGGCCAGGCGCCACCAGCAAGATGGCGCCGGCGGTTGAGGTCTCATGGCGGCTGCGGCGGCCAGCAGGTCCAGGGCTGGAGGCGGGGCCCGGCGTCACTCTAGCTGCTCGAGAAAGTTGGGCGACTTGAAGTACTCGGGCACGTTGTCGTCCAGCCGGGCGATAACCTTGTAGATGGCCTTCTTCCACGACTGCTCCTGGTCCTTGCCGGCCACGATGGCGCGGAAGAACTCGCGCAGCGTCTGCTCCACCACGTACCGGAAGTTTTCGGGCACCTGCGTCGCGGCGCGGAGGCAACGGCTCGTGTGAGAACGCGACCCGAGCTTTACTCGCGAACGATAAAACTTGAAAGGCGACATTCCCAGCTTTTGCACGTGGTTGAACACTGAAGAGACAACGAAGGCACGACGTGCGAGAGCACACGACCGGTGCTCGCACGAGACGTAACAGGGTGCCTTGTTTTACCGTAATTTGTCTTCATGTAGTCATTAAAATTACCGTAATCACCACCCGACATCTGGCAAGCTAGGTGATGAAGGATGCTAACATGACCGGGATAATGACTAAAAAGTTGTTATCTAAAGCAGATGGCCGTACTCGTGGTATCATGAAAATGCCAGCAAGTTGCAAGCATTGAGCCTTTCTTTTAGCGTCCCATATAATACGCTATGGGACACACCGTGGTCATAGAATACGATAGAGACCGAGACAGCAAGGTATAAGTGAGGTGAAGGATGAAAGTGAAGTAGCAGCAAGAGAGGGCATTCCACAGTTCGTGACGTTAAAGTACGATATGAAATACCATAGAGGGGATGGAAAGATGGCTTTAGATTTACATCAACCGTTTTATTTGGCAAACTTTTTGGCATTTGGTGCCACAATACGAACACACTGAGCACAATGGTGCTCTTTTTTTCTGCATGCAGTGTAATAAACAGAGTGAAAGCCCAACATATACATGGAAGGAAGAGAACACATTCTGCATAGTTCGTCCTCTGAGAAGGCAAACAAAATGATACGACAGTATAAGAGTGAGCGGTCTGACAATACAAACGTACCTCGATGTGGTTGTTCCTGTTATAGTGAAGGTTGAGGACCCTGAGGAGTTCCGAGTCAGCGCTCACTTTCAACTCCTCAACGTTCTTGATTCCTTCACTGACAGACTGACGGGCGTACTTCTCCATCTGGATGTAGTAGAACTCCCTGAGGAAAAAGAGGGAAAAGACTGTTTATACTAGAGAAAGAAGGTGAAAAAAAAGTGCCACAATATTCACGAAGTGAATAATGATGAGTGAGCGTAGCTCCGGAGGTAAACCTGGTAAACCATGAATCCTCCGTACATTTAGCCCACTCGATTTTATTACAACACTCCCCCTAGCGTACGTCGCCGCACTAAATCGATCGATTGCCTTCCACCAATGACACGCGCCATATGTGACATCGTTTCTATTTTTATAACATCTCGCATCTTTCATCATCAAGTACAAGTATCGCTGTCTAGTTTATAACATCTTGCATATTTTCATCATCAGCTACAAGTACCACCATCTAGTGAACACTGCAAGAACTAAACGAGAGGTGGCTACATACAGGGGACGCACAGCCCAGGCCTTAAGGTGTTTCGCCCCTAAAAATAACTGAGTATTTACTCTAATTGCTGATTACAGACTTTGCATGATAGACATAGACGATGGCTACACTCGGTCTGTATTTGGAGTATATCGGCTTCTATAATAGGCTCGAGAAACGAGCACCACATAAAAATTATCGACATGTCACCAATATAGCATGCTAAAGAGGGGTTTATACGAAGGCTGTGTTTTTGCATTTTTATCGTTTGAAACATTCTTGCATTGACTGCTTTTCTATAGAATTGAAGTGCACTGTAACATTTGAATTGCGTCACTAACCTGTTTGTTTTCATGTTGCAACTGTCTAACATTGCATTTAATTTCAACTGCATCTTTATTTGCATCTACTTTAATCGAAACCTTTAAAATAATATATAGCTGCCTATCTTCATTCGACGCCTCTTCCTTCAAAGAGACGTTGATAATAATAGAAAAAAATATGTATTTGTTTGTTTTTAATATTGTCACTCTCATCTGAGTGTAGACACACGGCCCATACAAAGTGCTAAAATTACACTATGTCACTTTGTCACTGAGCTTTCAAAGACAAAATTAAAGATTTCAAAGCAAAGATTACAGAAGATAGAACATATACAACCACTAGCAAGTTATACAGATTTTAATAAAATTAGCAGTAATATTGACAAGCAGCTTACACAGCTGCTCCACACAAGATGGTAACAATAATCGTCACTATATTCCCTCTCGACTTCTACACGTTCCATACTGTGTAATATAAAACACGGAGAATAAGCTTCCTTCATTCAATGTACGTGCACACAAGCATTACTAACCAACACGCCATTAACGACGGGAGGCTCGGAAAAATTAACTTGGTTTTGCATAGCCCTAATGAAAGAAGGAAAGCCAAAAGACACACTCGCGCTATTGACGAGTTATTAACAAGTGCACATCGCACACTTATAGGAATCGAACCCGCGAACAACACAGTTGCTTCGTTAACCTCAGAACGGCGTATTAGCCTCAGAGTGTGATACCCAAATTGACATCGAGGAACCGCAGTGGTGATTACGTAAGTGGGACAACAACGTGTGCGCAGGGAAGAGCGAGGCCATCCCATATCGTGTAGCGCGCAAACGTAGCATGCTCACAGTCGTGTACCTGGGACAGGATTAACGAGATTACCACCAACGAGCGGATTAATAGCGGAACGACGACGAGAGAATTGGGGAAGCGCGGGACACGGCCCTCGTAAGCACAGCAGCGGTGGAGCCCGAGACGTCGCCGGCAATAACACGCCCCTAATTGAACGCGCATTATCTTCTCGACCGACCAAGACGCGGAACGTAACCTTTAACTCCCTTTCTACTCCCCAATGCCTTGCGTTCCCAAGGGCAGAAGGGAGGGAGTGGCTTTAGGGAGTAACGAAGGAGCACCGGTCTGAGCCGGCGCCTTAAAAACCACCGCGCGATTAGGGAGCAGCGTTAATGAGAAGAAGAGCGAAGCACCGAGCTCGGCTTCGCTACGCACGTCAAGCATATTATACGCGCGCTTATAAGAAGAATAAGCGCGCCGTAACAACGTGCCTCGGAAGTTCGGGAAAAAAAGGAAAGAAAAAGGAAGCAAGACAGTGGGTGCCAGCAGCCAGGTTATTTTTATGAGGTAACAAGGTAAGGCTAATCACAGCGCTCCCGCGCATTGCAGGGGAAGTCGAGGGAAAGTAGCATAAGGGAGGTTAGAGGGGGAGTATTTTAAGAGTGTAAAGGAGGAGTCTCAGACCACGGAACGATGATTATTTAAAGAAGAGTACGGTGGCAAGAGTAAAGATTAAAAATAAGGAGCAAAAAGCATCTAAGTTTTTTTTTTTTTGCTCATGCATGCAGCCTCAGCGTTAGAAACGCTGAAATAAAAAGAAAAAAAAAGAGGAAAAAGGAAATGCGCTTAAAGAAGAAGAGGCTAAAAGGACGCGAGGAAAAGCGAAGTTGTGGGTCCTTAGCTGGGACCGGAGGTGGAACGCTCCGTTAAAATGGGGGTTTCAGCCAGGCAGAGAAGTAATGCACCGAAGTGGCTTTAAAGGGACACTGTCCCCGCAGAAGCGCAAGAAAAAGAGGGAGAAAGAAAAAAAGGTGACCTTTCTCCAGTGGCTAACGTTCTTATCTGCTAAGTGCGTTGCAGCAAGCGCTCGCGGTCTTCTGAGTAGCGTGAATTAAAAAAATGTATATTCCAAACAGAGTCGGCTGCAGGTCCAGCAAAGTGTCAGCGATATTCATTACCTCTTGCAGCGCACACCCAACCTCATATTCACATAACTCTGTCTTTTTTTGTCTTTTTTTTGTGCCAGCGCATTTGCGTATGCACGGCCGCATCGCTTCTCGGTTTTCCGCGCAATAAAACGTGGCGAAAAAAAACAGGGAAAAGCTTAAAGAAAATTCGGGAACGTCCTTCCCTATTTCCTTAGTGATCCCTCCGAGTCCCTCCCGCGCGAGAAATTCTGTTTCTTTTCACCGTCCCCCTTTTCCCCTTATTTGTACCGCGATAAAGGTAGGGGTTGTGGTCGAGGAAAGAAGAAAAAAAGAGGAGATGAAATGAAAGAAAGCGAGATGAGCAAGTAAAGCGAGAGAGGATGTAAGAAGGAAAAGTTTTTGAAGGCGATACGTAATATTTCGCGGACCATTAAGTTCTGCCACTGCGGCGACGACAGGGGCGTTCAGTCGTCGTCGTCTGGAGAGAGGGAGTCGCAGGTTCGCACCCCATTCTACCCTCATCACTCCTTTGGAAAAAAAAAGGGAAGCATCCCTAGGGAAGATAAGAGAACGCGAAGACAGGTATACGGCGGCGTACGCGTGCATCGTTAAGAGCTGCCACCTCGCGCCGGAGCCCGACGAGACAAAGCAACACACCCCACAGACGCGGCTTCTCGACCACGCTTTATTTTATTCTCTTGCATTTTTTTTCTTTGTAACGGCGGGCGCGAATTTAATTCGACACTACACCGTCCCAGCCGAGCGACGTCTTACGGTGAGAGCGTTCAGGAGATTACGCGTTCCTTGTTTTACAACCGCGGTTGCGCCGAGTGGCTTGAAGTCCGGGAAGCTTGCATAACGCGTACTTAAATTATAAGACGACTGGCATTATTAAACGCCAGAGTTTTGTGTGTCTGGGCGTTTTTTTTATCTATTCAGTGCGAAAAAATGTATGTGAATGCGCTACGTGTGTGTGGTTCTTGATAAAAGGGGGCGGTTTGTACACCGAAAAGGATGCGAAAGACAAGACAAAGGGAAACGTTAAAAACGTGTGCACTTGTCAACGTGCGCCTATTTATTTATTTATTTATTTATTTATTTATTTATTTATTTATTTATTTATTTACGTGTGCGTGCCTAGAAGGAGGGCCTACCCAGCAAGCCCGTGAGGCGGTGAGGAGGCATGACTTCGACGTCCCCACGTGCGAGGCCTGGCAGGGCCATTCAAATCGCTGGTTTTCAATAACGTTTCTCTTTTTCTTCTCCATTCGTATTCTTGGTGAACGAGGTGGTTCCAGCTACATGATCAAAAGCATGGATGATTCCTTGCATACAAAAAAAAAAAAACACGCAATAATGTTTTGGGGCAGTCGTTTTTCTGACGTTAGTGTCGTGCTTTTTTTAGTGGGGTCTGCGGGTCATCTGGGATTCATGTGATGATTTTAATAATTGTCTGTCCCCCTACATTTCTTCACTCGCACGAATTCAGCAAAGGCGCGTCCATGAACCATGCGGAATTACTGAAGAACTACCAAAGATCATTGTAAATAAAGAAAAGTGAAATATCAACTAGCCAGCATTGCAATCTTTTCTTTGTTAGTTTCCTCAGCGTCGACGGTGTGCATCCTGCCGCCACTTCTGACATTTAACTCGGGCGACATGTGTATAGCGTGTGCTCGCTGCGTTGGGGAGACCCAGCAGTGGGCCTAAAAGAAAGGCCATAACGACGGTTTCCTTATCTTCTCCGCTGCTGACGGACGGAAGGGCGTCCCACGCACTATAGATGCTTCAGTATAGCACAAGCCCCGTCTTTCCATTGTGAAACCACCGTCCATTGTTTTTTTCTTCTTCGCATCCCTCAAGGCAGAGGTCGCCTCGATAAGAGATCGCACACGCACGATGCTGCGTCGGACCATATGCGGATGCAACCGCGTGGGCAACGGGTGTATACGGCGCAGTGCATGTCTCAGCGGGACTGCTGAGGACGCCGGTTCGATTCCCAGCAGAATTCACAATAGAAGGCTCGCGTGCCACGCTATATGTATGAATGTACAGGAACGACTATACATCTAGGGTGGACACCTCACTAACATTCAGGCCCGCGAAACTAGGACGTCTATTTTCTATTTCACGGTGGAAATGTCCGTTACACGACGGACAATCACGGCGCCAATAAACAATTCAACAGTTCTCCAAACGACGAACCAAGCATCAGCTTCTACGAGGTCTCAAAACACAGGACACAACCAGGGCTTCACGTCATAAACATAGTCGTAGCATTACACCTATATTTGCACGCACTAACATTTACAAGTATTCATTTTTCCCGAGAACTGTCTCTGATTGGAATGCTTTGCCCCATGATTCC